TGTGTGTGTGGTGTGTGTGTGTGTGTGTGTGTGTGTGTGTGTGTGTGTGTGTGTGTGTGTGTGTGTATGTGTGTGTGTGTGTGTGTTGTGTGTGTGGTGTGTGTGTGTGTGTGTGTGTGTGTGTGTGTGTGGTGTGGTGTGTGTGTATGTGTATATATATATATATTTATATTTATATCTATCTATATATATTATATATATATATATATGTATATATGTGTGTGTGTTGTATGTATATATATATATATATATATATTGTGTGTGTGTGTGTGTGTGTGTGTGTGTGTGTGTGTGTGTGTGTGGTGTGTGTGTGTGTGTGTGTGTGTGTGTGTGTGTGTGCCTGGTCGCTTCTGCGTCGCTTCTTATTCAACCGCAGCTACTGAACAGGAAATAATCTCAAATAAATGGAACCAAGTTGTAATTATACCAATACCGAAGCCAAATGATCCAGAGGTGTACAGACCAGTATCATTAGCATCTTGTCTACGTAAAACCTTAGGAAGAATTCGCCTCAACAGGCTGATGTTCAAGATAAGAAACATACTAGACGCAAATATTAATGGATTTTATGGCTGGGAAATATACAGTGCATTATATCACTACTTTCTTGGCAAACGGCAGATGCAAATACTCAGGCATTCATAGACCTGAAGAGTGCATTTTATAAAGCTCAAGGTAGAATAATATTATCTAGAATAATATTAAACTAGGTGTAAAAGGAAGGTTGTTGCCTTGGACCAAAGAATATCTAGATAATAGAAAAGCTAGAGTATACTTTCAATTTTCTTATTCTAGGATGATGAAATTAGAAATGAGTACTCCCCAAGAGGGTGTACTAAGCCCAATGTTATTCAGTTTTTTTTTTATGAACAATATAGCCAATACAATACCCTAATCATTCGGTAAATATAGGATATGCTGACGATTTTTTGTTGTTTGTTTTGGAAGAAACACTCGTAAAATTTGGTGACGTTTGTAAGAAAGTTGGCCTTATAATACCAACCAGTAAAACAAAGGTTATGTCAGATTGTGGAGCGAGGGGCGAAGCAAGAGATTTATTATCAAATGATAAAAAAAAACAAACTAGAATGGGTTAGGAAATGTAAATATTTTGGCATAACTGTATCAGTTAAACGAGAATTGTATGATATTGGGGAACTTATTAAAAAGAGTAAATGTAGACAGACCATTATAAGCAATGACATGGAACAGACTAGGGACATCCATAAATGTCGTAAGAAAAATGTACATTGTACAAGAAATCACTGTTTATGCTGCACTCGTGTTAGTAACATTGCTCAGAAAGCAAAATAGAGAAATTAGAATATATACTGACGGCTAAGAAGCAGCACAAAAAATGGCATGGATGTTATCAGTCCATCTATGCAACAAATAATAGGAAAAATCAAGACATGGATAAACAGGAAGAACAGAGATGAAAGGAGACAGCCAGAGTACATTTCCTGTAGACAAGGCGGCGGCAGGGCAAAGGAATCCACCATAGCTCGATTAAGGTTAGGTTACAAGCGCCCTTGGGACTGCAATATTCCCATGGAAAACTCGCTTAAAAAGTGTAGAGTACGTGGTGAAAGATTAGGACATAATTTGAAAAACTATGTAATGTAATGCCAATACATAGGAAGGGAGTTAGATAAATTACACCAATGACAAAGCATTTTAAGGATACATGTATAATTTGCATCTGTAAAATAATATGAACGCAATTGTAAAGATCTTGCCCAAGGATCTATAAGGTGCTATATACCCAGTCACTCCAAAGGAGTTGGGTATGTTTGGGTAATGTATTCCATGACTGAGGTACATACAGAGTGCAAATGCCACGGGCATCTAGGAGGTGAGAGATGCGCCTCACACAGCTGTCTCCACGCGGCTTTCTTGGCAACATTGCAAAGGTGATTCGTAAAAGTCAGGGTATCACTGACTTCCACACCTAAGATGGCGATGGATGCCTGGGGTGACAGTGCTCTCCCCTGCGACAGAACGGTGGGAATAAGTTTTTCATGGGTTCGCTGACGTCGAGATATAAGCATTAGGTGTGTTTTATCTGGAGCTAAATTGACTTACCAGCGTCTACCCCATGAGACCATATGCAAAACTACCTCTCAGGCAGCGTTGCAAAAAGCGGAGAAGATCGCCGCGCACTCCCATGCTGTTGAGTTTGGCGGCGAGATCGAGGTGCCACACTCTGTCGAATGCCCCTGCAATGTCGAGCGGTATGACGAAAGTGTCCTCGCCTTGGTCAAGGGCCTTAAGCCAAGTACTGGTGATGTGGAACAGTAAGTCAGCTGCTGACCTGTCTGTTCGAAAACCGAATTGCCTGTTGCTGAGGAGCTGCTGAGAGGCAAGGAACGATCTAATTTTGTCGACTATAATGGATTCAAAGATCTTGCCAAGAATTGAGAGGAAGGAGATGGGTCTGTCGTTCTTGGGAGTAAAAATCCGACTGTCTCAGCAAATAGTACGTTGCTTTTTGCCTGATCAGTCGAGATGCTATGGAAGAATGATCTTCGCTCTCCTTCTCTATACGAGTGCGACACTCCTTGGACAGCATGCCCAGGGAGTAAACAGTAATTACACGTGATCCTTCTGAAACAGTTTGTATCTCTGTCCCTTGCATCTGCACTGACGGCAATACTTTTCGACTCGGTGACGAGGTGGAGGACGGGGTGGATCAGAATTAGCCCGAGAAGGCTTCAGTAACATGTTTCCTGTCCCCGGTACTGTTCCTCTTGAGTTTCTGTCATGCCTCAAGGGAACGAATGAAGGGCCTCTGCCCCAGTTCGACCTGATGAGGATCCAGCGGCCAGGGACTGAGGTGTGTGGGTAGGGTTGACCGGGAGTTCAGTGGGGATGGACTGCAATAAGCGAGGTTTCCCTGAAGTCCACCAGGATGTTGAGCTTCTATTAGCAGGAATGTGTCTGATCCACCCTTCGTCAATTTTGTGTGCCCTAGTAGAAGTAGCAATAGATCATACATCAAGCTCTTCAAGGCTTTATTTTGTAACAGAGATGCTGTCTATAAGGTCTAGTTCAGTACCAACAGATTCGAAATTCATTCATAAATCGTTAAATTCGTATGAGAGAAAAATGCTTGAATCCCTACTAACAAGAAAACTGCCCAATTCTAACTTGAGTGCCGGCCAATCGTTAATTAACAAAGCCTCCCTCAGACTCTTCGACCTTGACTCTTCTCCTGGGACTTGATTCAGACTTTGTTCGTCTCTCTATCACGATATAAACCTGTCAAAATTCTCTCCTTGTATCCATTTCGATTTTGTCTGAAGAGGAACTCGTTAAATGTTCGAAATGTTACGATTATTTTCAATTCTAATTGCGACTAATTTCATTTTCATTTTTGTGTACACGTTAGTGTTTGTGATTATGTTCATATATATATATATATATATATATATATATATATATATATATATATATATATATATAATGTATAAATATGAACACACATGGAGAGAGGCGCTGTGTGTGTGTGTTGTGTGTGTGTGTGTGTGTGTACATACATGTACATGTATCTCTCTCTCTCTCTCTCTCTCTCTCTCTCTCTCTCTCTCTCTCTCTCTCTCTCCCTCTCTCTCTCTCTCTCTCTCTCTCTCTCTCTCTCTCTCTATATATATATATATATATATATATATATATATATATATATATATATATAGATAGAGAGAGAGAGAGAGAGAGAGAGAGAGAGAGAGAGAGATGTTGACAAATGGAGAAAGGTTGGAATGCGAATGAATATTTCCACAAGACAAGGGATGTTTTGGACCGGTTTCGAATAAGTCTTCGTCAGAAATACACACTTCAGAGGAAGATGCATTTGAAACCGGTCTTTACATCTCTTGTCTTGTGAAGATATTCATTCTCCTTCATACCTATCTACATAGATAGTGTGTATGTAATATGTACATAGAGAGAGAGAGAAGATGAGAGAGAGAAGAGAGAGAGAGAGAGAGAGAGAGAGAGAGAGAGAGAGAGAGAGAGAGAGAGAGAGAATGTATGTGTGTGTAAAATAATTTAGAAGCATGTACCTCTTCACGCCTAATGGCATTCAAATAAAGGAGTTGCAACTGTGTTCTCTAACTCGTGTATATTTACATTTTCTTTCTTATTTTATAGCAATGTATATTCCATGTATCTTTTTCTATATTTCACATGTGAGATCTATTTTGTTATTCAATGTCTAAAATTTGGATACATTTTAGAAGAATGTACTCGGCGATAACGCGGGAGCGGCCCTGCTGCTTATTTCCGTGGATTAGATTATAGTGATTAACATTTTTTTCCTCAAATATAATGGCTTGATATATATATTCATTATATTCATGTGCTATCAACTGTTCTCTTATTTCTAAGCTTTTAATATGAAGGAAAAGGACTTGATAAGGAAAATTATGAAATTCTTAAATAGTAACTAGCAGAAGTATCCACGGAGTGATTGTTTACATCTGTAGTAAATCCAGCGAAGCAAAATTTCATTATATTTAAGATGTCACTTGTCGTGTGCCAATAAAACACAACAGGTAAGAAGTTTTAACGCATGATTAAGGATGAAGATGAGCAAAAAGCCATCAACAGGTGGTGATGGCAAGGCGAGAAACCGAGACCAATACTTTACACTTTTATCAATAAACGTGGTAAATATTTTTGTAATTTCATGTACATAGTCATCGTACGTTTTTGGGTAATTCTCGCGTCCCGATGCTAGTAGTTAATAACACCAGTAACAGTGACTATGAACGCTTAACAAATAACAGGTAGTAATAATAATAACAGTTAATATTAACAGCTAACAAGCCAGTTGATAATCCTAACAGTTTATATGTGGATTAAAATTCTAGTGATTGTTTAGGTTCTCACAGCCATAATATCATGCACTGATTATTTCATGTTGTAGTTATTTATTGTTTATTATGTATGGGTATCTTTTCATTGCAAATGACAAGTAAAATTATTGGTGATTGTTTATTAAGTGACTGCACCCTCTGAATCCAAGGTTCATATTCTGAGACACTTCAGATGCCAGACTGTAGAGTATTTTTCATGCGCAGGTAATGTTACCTTTTTTCATGTGCGGAAAATATCATTATGTCTACATTTGCGCAGATAGATCTGCAGATGGATGATGAAACAAGTGGGCGGAAAGGTCAAAAGAATTTTATGCGTGGAAGATGATATAAAAAAGAACTAAGTGTGCACAGAAAGTTACCCGAGAACTACATTTGCGCGGACAGAATTTGACCAAATAATTTTTGCCCCAGATCAAACTCTACAGTCTGGTTCAGATGCCTCTTTCGGCGGTGGTCTTAAAATGGGGACCTCCAACGGGGTTGGGGCAAAGTCTTGATCTTCTCTGAATGGCTGCAACATAAGGCAGCTGGTAATTTGCTGTGAAGTGAGGCAGCTCAAAGGTCACTGGCTGTGATACAAGACAGCATAACGGCATTTGGCTGATGGGTGGGAGAAATGAGTTCAACTATTCTAGAGACACAAGGAGCTCACCAGAAAAAGAGTTTGGAGTGTGTCTGACTATGAGTATAAGTCTTCTATTACTCTAGCCATATCTGGGGATCCTCAAGCATTGCCTTATAGACCAAAAACCTAAAAAATTGCTATATTTCCCAGTTGGAGTCTCTGCCCCTGGACCCCACCCTATCACCTCAGGTTTACTCTCTGCTCAGCATTTGTCACAATCCATTTTCTTCATTTCTTGTATTATTCTTTGCCTGTCTAGATTATTTCATGCAGCAGTGATTGTGGTTTGTCCCCCCTTTATGATAATGTCATTAGATATTTCTGTAGATGTACATATAGAGGAAAATGTATTATTTTCTAGTCTTTTATCCATTAGTGCTAATAGGCCTTGGTGATTTGTTGTCAGATATGAAGGAACTAGTCAGAGCTCAGAGCTTGGCCAGAATATGCATCTTGGATGTTTTTTGGATTATGAAGGCCAGTGATGGTATATCAAAAATTTTACAATTTTTTTGGTTGATTTATGCTTGTGGAATATGTTTTAGCATAAAATAGATTTGAGGAAGAAACAAATTTTCAAGTTCATACATAATGAATGTGAACAAAACAAAACTCATTCATAGTTGATGTTTAGGTTGCTTGTTTTCCATAAGGTTGGTTAGGCCTACAGTTTATGGAAATAAAGTATCCTAATGTATGCCATTGCTAATGATTCTAATCTTTATTTCTACCATATACACCTTATTTCCATTCAGTAACTAATTTCTCAAGTGTTTGTCTGGTAATGTTTTGTTTACTTGTTTCGAGGCTTGTGATATTTCCACCAGACAGTATTCTGTCATGCTTTTTTGTTTTCATGCTCTTTTAGATGACCATATTTACTAGGGCCTAGTACATAAAATCTTTCTTTCAGATGATATGTACTAATAATATTTTGCATATACCATGTAAACCTTGTTTGTTGTTTGTATTTATATATAAATTTTATATTTATATCTAGTTTGTAACCCCATTAGTTTTATTGGTTATCATAATGATTATCATTTTGGCAAATTATCAGATGTATTACACTATGGAAAAGATTTGATTTACTGATTTTCTTCTCACATCAATGAATACAATTATAAACTAGTAAGACTGACATTTGATTTCCATGTTCTGTTTATGCTTTAGAACTACAAAAATAAATGATCAGTTCAGTTAATGAACTGATCTGTCTCGTCTAACCTCTCCAGGGATCCATTTACAGAAGAGGATTACTTTCCTTGCTATGAGGGGTACTGAGATGAAAATCCTTGTCTAGTGCATCACCAAACAAGAACCACTGTGTTTGTCTTTTGCACCTTGCTACAGGAGGAAAAATGATGCCAAAACAAAAATTGTAGTATAATTCCTAGGAAGGTTATTACTTGATCATCTATTATATAATATTTCATATAATTATACTGTTGAAATAAGTAAAATAGATTACAAGTTACAGTTTGCATCTCACTAAAATTTTAAAGGTTGTCCAGCCAAATATTCATTTGATCAACAAATTAACCATATTTTGCTCAATTTCAGGTATAGTATTTACCTCCTCCCAACTTTAGCTTTATACTCTTGTTTGGAAATTATATATGAAATGGTTATAGTCTTGGATCAGTGTTAGTATGAGGTATTCATGCCACTGCGGAGACCATTTTAAGATGAATATGTCATAAATCTTGATATATGTTTGATCCATTTTTCCATATATCCATATATATATGTTTGATCCAGTTACCCCAGCTTATAAACAATATCCCTTGCCAGCATGGCCACCAAAGAAAATTAGCTATTGAGAGCTGCTAACATCCAAAAACTTGTGGTATGCAAAAACTTGTAAGATATTGCTAATGACAACCCTTGGAATTGGCTACTTTGCTGTCCACATGTGGCCCAAACTCCAGGTATTGTGTAAGCAGCCACTCTGATGAGTATATGGATAGTAAGCTGGGCACACAAACGCTCATGTGTGGTGGTAAGACTTCATGCCTCCCCTTGAAATGTTAATTTTTTTTTTCTACATAAGTGTTTTTATTATTGTTATTATTATTATTATTATTATTTTTTTTTTCAATTTTCTAATGTCTTTAATTATCATTTGAAATGCTGTATCCAGGTGGTAATATATTGTTTTCCATGCGTAGGCTTCATATTATCTCTCACGGTAGTCCATAGCTTAGTGCAATAGTAATAACAATTAAATAGCATTTTGTCATTTATGTAATTTTAAAACTTTCGTAATATTCAATTTTCTGTAATGTACTCTATGCCGCAGGTCACGGCAAGCAGGAATAAGATTCTGAGCACGGAAATAGTTTCCTCTCTGGAGCTGGCGCTCTGTAAGTCATGGCTCACAGATGGTACATTCCATACTCATATATCGATGGAAATAATGCAAGAGCCCTCTCCTAATACCCACTTTGAGTCTAATCACTCTTCAAGAACTTTTGCACTCGTGTCAAGTCATTTCCGTCACCCTGGTCAGCATCCATAATCCTCATGACAGCATTTTCCCATTACCCTGGCCCTCAGCTAATATTTTTCTTGACGTCATATTTATGTCACCTTCCCCCCAAGCCAAATTTTTTCATGATGCGATGGTCCTCTTGATAGTAGGGGCAACTCAAATATAAGCCCAAAGATGGAATCGAGGACAGTTCCGAAACTGTTATCTCATTTTCTTCAATAAATCTAGTTTGTGCATTGTGGGTTTTTGTACCAAGCCATGCATTTTTTTTTTTATCCCAGTTTGTTTTTCCATATATGTCACTTTGTGTTTTGAATCACCAAACATGTTTTAAATATGTTTTCTTTCACAGATTTTAACAAGATGGGTGACAAGATTTGGCCAGTAACAAGAATTCCAAGCATTTTTGATTCTGATGATGATAGTGATGAAGATCTTTCAAATCCCACCCCTTCGGCCATACTAACATCCCAGGTGCAGAGCAATACTAGTACAGCTTTTTCAGAAGAGTATCCTGCTCATAGTCAAGCCAGTAATGAACAGGATACAGGTAAAGATGTTAGTGGTGGAAAAGATATTGAGAAAGGATGTAGAGAGGAGCAAGAACCCGAAACCTTTGTCAGCTGTGGACAAGAGTCCAAGGAGATAGAGGATGGAAGACAAACACCACTGGAAGATCAGGGGGGAGACTTGCAAGCCACAGAAATTGTCAAGGGTATTGAAGATCATGAGGAAGTATGTGAGGAAGATACCAGTGTTGAGAGAGTTTACAATACTGAAGAAACTGACAGCAAGGAAGAAGAAATAGAGAAAATAGCACCTAGTGTACAGGAGGTGGATCAAGGACAAAGCATTTGTTCTGATTTAAACAAAAGTTCCTCAGAGCCTGGAAGGTCAGGTGATAAGGAAGTGATAGAGGAGGAATTAGATAAAAGTTTTTCCAGTTTTGATAATGTTGAGGGAAGTGACAGTGATGACATTAATAAAGGAAACCAAAGCATTTCAAGTCATGACAATATAGATGATGGCAGTGAAGAAGATGCTGCTGGGGGAGATGATAAAAGTATATCAAGCCATGATAATCTAGATGAAGCAAGTGAAGGAGAAGATGCTGACATGGAGGTAGATAAAAGCACTGCAAGTCATGACAATATTGGGGAAATCAGTGAAGAAGATACTGGTGAAATAGCAAATAAAAGTGTTTCAAGTCATGATCATGCTGATGAAGCAAGTGAAGATGCTGACATGGAAGTAGATAAAAGTATGTCAAGCCATAGCAATGCTGATGAAGTGAGTGAAGCAGATGATGCAATGGACAAGAGTGTATCCAGCCATGATAATGTTGAAATAGGTAGTGATGATAGTGAGGATAAACATGATGTAGCGATTGGTGACAATGAGTTAGATATAAGCCTTTCCAGCCATGGTAATGCAGATGAACAGAGTGATGGAGATGTTAATGACAGTCATTTAGGCTATGAAAGTGAAGGGGAGAAGAACGCTGAGCATCATGTTGATGCGGACAAGGAAAAGCTCGCCAATGAAAGGGGTTCTGATAGAATTGACAGTCCAATTGAGCATGATTCTAAATTGAAGCTTGCAAAAGAACACTGTACCAGTGATTCTGAAGAAGGGCCAGTTGAGCCCAAGATTGAAGATGATTCTGTTCAAGTAGAGAGTAAAGATGTGTTAAGCCTCTCTAAAGAGGATAAGATGGAAGTTAGTAGTCAAGTATTTTCTCACACTGTTGGTGAAGAATATGAAGTGGTAACAGAAAAAAAAGAAAAGGATATTGAAGTAGAAAAAGGTGAATGTACCACAGATATTCAACGTGATGACAGGAGTCCGATCTGCAAAGAGGAAACCACTCCTACTGAAGTTGAGGAGGTAATGGAAGTTGACAAAGATTCAGATGTGCTAACTGCAGAAAAGGTTCCCAGTTGTGGCAAACAGGAAACTGACCAACCAGAAACTCAGACAGTATTCAAAACAGAGCAG